CAATTTTTCCAGAATCGATGAAATAACGAATCATAGTTTTTAAGATCCATAATTTTTGAAATTTCATTTTCAAACCGAATTTTCAAAAATATTGATCTGAGACCATAAACAAGTTGTTTTTCAAACCAGTTTATAGAAATTTATTTTCCAATTTTTTGAGACAACTTTTCAAAAATCTCAATTTTCCATTATGAATTTTTTACTTTTTTGGAACACATTACAAAAATCAACAAGACATTTTTTTTGTAGATTTCAAATTGTAGAAGTTATTTTCGGCTTCATTTCTTCAAAAATTCCAACAATTTTTCCAGAATCGATGAAATAAAAATGTTAAAAAATTTCATTTTCAAACGGAATTTTTCGAAAATCTTGGTACGGGGAATCAACATACCATGTTTTTCGAATCAGTTCGTTGAAATATATTTCCCAGAATTGTTTGAGAATTTTTAGACAACTTTTCTAAAATGTCAATTTTTCAAAAAATAAAGTAAATTTTTGACCATTTTTCGAGCGCCCTTCGAAAAATTACCCAATGTGTAGGAAATTATTTTTAGTTTCAATTCTTCGAAAACTCTCAACAATTTGAACAATCTATAAAAATAAAAATGGCAATTTTGAAGATATTTAAAATTTTTTTTTTTTTCAAACCGAACTTTTATAAAACCTTGGGTTTTTGAATCAGTTTGTCGACGTGTATTTCCCAATTGTTTGAGAAATTTTAGGCGACTTTTCAAAAATCTCAATTTTTCAAAATAAATTTTGGATCGTTTTTCGACAACTCTTCGAAAATTACGAAGACACTTTCTTGCGAATTTCGACTTACAGAAGTTATTTTCGAGATTATTTCTTAAAAAATTCCAACAATTTTTCCAGAATCGATGAAATAACGAATCATAGTTCTTAAGATCCATAATTTTTGAAATTTAATTTTCAAACCGAATTTTCAAAAATATTGATCTGAGACCATAAACAAGTTGTTTTTCAAACCAGTTTGTAGAAATTTATTTTCCAATTTTTTGGGGCAACTTTTCAAAAATCTCAATTTTCCATTATGAATTTTTTACTTTTTTGGAACACATTACGAAAATCAACAAGACATTTTTTTTGTAGATTTCAAATTGTAGAAGTTATTTTCGGCTTCATTTCTTCAAAATTTCCAACAATTTTTCCAGAATCGATTAAATAAAAATGTTAAAAAATTTCATTTTCAAACGGAATTTTTCGAAAATCTTGGTACGGGGAATCAACATACCATGTTTTTCGAATCAGTTCGTTGAAATATATTTCCCAGAATTTTTTGAGAATTTTTAGACAACTTTTCAAAAATGTCAATTTTTCAAAAAATAAAGTCAATTTTTGACCATTTTTCGAGCGCCCTTCGAAAAATTACCCAATGTGTAGGAAATTATTTTTAGTTTCAATTCTTCGAAAACTCTCAACAATTTGAACAATCTATAAAAATAAAAATGGCAATTTTGAAGATATTTAAAATTTTTTTTTTCAAACCGAACTTTTATAAAACCTTGGGTTTTTGAATCAGTTTGTCGACGTGTATTTCCCAATTGTTTGAGAAATTTTAGGCGACTTTTCAAAAATCTCAATTTTTCAAAATAAATTTTGGATCGTTTTTCGACAACTCTTCGAAAATTACGAAGACACTTTCTTGCGAATTTCGACTTACAGAAGTTATTTTCGAGATTATTTCTTAAAAAATTCCAACAATTTTTCCAGAATCGATGAAATAACGAATCATAGTTCTTAAGATCCATAATTTTTGAAATTTCATTTTCAAACCGAATTTTCAAAAATATTGATCTGAGACCATAAACAAGTTGTTTTTCAAACCAGTTTATAGAAAATCATTTTCCAATTTTTTGAGACAACTTTTCAAAAATCTCAATTTTCCATTATGAATTTTTTACTTTTTTGGAACACATTACAAAAATCCACAAGACATTTTTTTTGTAGATTTCAAATTGTAGAAGTTATTTTCGGCTTCATTTCTTCAAAAATTCCAACAATTTTTCCAGAATCGATGAAATAAAAATGTTAAAAAATTTCATTTTCAAACGGAATTTTTCGAAAATCTTGGTACGGGGAATCAACATACTATGTTTTTCGAATCAGTTCGTTGAAATATATTTCCCAGAATTTTTTGAGAATTTTTAGACAACTTTTCAAAAATGTCAATTTTTCAAAAAATAAAGTCAATTTTTGACCATTTTTCGAGCGCCCTTCGAAAAATTACCCAATGTGTAGGAAATTATTTTTAGTTTCAATTCTTCGAAAACTCTCAACAATTTGAACAATATAAAAATAAAAATGGCAATTTTGAAGATATTTAAAATTTTTTTTTTCAAACCGAACTTTTATAAAACCTTGGGTTTTTGAATCAGTTTGTCGACGTCTATTTCCCAATTGTTTGAGAAATTTTAGGCGACTTTTCAAAAATCTCAATTTTTCAAAATAAATTTTGGATCGTTTTTCGACAACTCTTCGAAAATTACCAAGACACTTTCTTGCGAATTTCGACTTACAGAAGTTATTTTCGATATTATTTCTTCAAAAATTCCAACAAATTTTCCAGAACCGATGAAATAAAGAATCATAATTTTTAAGATCCATAAGAATTTTTGACCTTTTTCGAACACATATCAAAAGAATTTTTTTTGTAGATTCAATTTGTAGAAGTTATTTTCGGCCTCATTTGTTCAAAAATTCCAACAATTTTTCCAGAATATGAAATAAACGACAAATTTTAAAATATCTCATTTTTGACCGATTTTTTCGAAAATCTTGTTATCTCATGTTTTCCGAATTCGCTCGTCAAAATGTATTTTACAGAATTTCTAAAGAATTTAAGACAACCTTTCCAAAAATTCAATTTTTCAAAAAATATGATTTTTTTTGTATTTCCCAAAATTTTTTGAAAATTTTGAAAAACTTCAACTTTCAAAAAATAAAAAAATGTCAGTTTTTGACCATTTTTCGTGCTCCCTTCGAAAAATTACCTAAAGACATTTTCTTGTGAATTTCGGCTTACAGAAATTATTTTCGTCTTTATTTCTCCAAAAATTCCAACAATTTTTCCAGAATCGATAAAATGAAAAATGACAACTTTCAAAATATTTAAGAACCGTCAAAATACAGTTCCCAAAATTGCTTGAAAATTTTTGGGCAACTTTTCAAAAATTTCAATCTGTCAAGATAAATGTATGGCGTTTTCCACGACCTAATTTTCCACATTCATCCTTTTTAATAATTTTTTTTTTCAGAAACACTTTGAAAATTAATGCCTGTATGTTGTTATTTATGTTCAACATCTTTATCGAACGAACGGAAATAAAATAACATATGCACTCACTTTAATCGAAAAAAATCCATCAATGAAAAATCAATATGAAAAATAATAGTTGAAAATTTGTCATCACTGTAATCGCTGGAACTGACAGTTTAAATGGGAAAAAAGAACGAATTTGGGGCCGATTAATGTTCTGTCAGAAAAATAAATTATTTTAATGATTTAAAAAAAAATCAATCTGTCGTCTGTTTGTAATAAGATCTATTTGACGAATGGCTATTTTCAGGTTTCTTTGACGTTCCATTTCCGTTTGTCATTTTTAAATTAAATTTGTACAAATAAATCTGAGCACAGGTAAATCCGATTTATTTCTTAGAAACTGGTTTCCGCTGATTGGATGCCGATTATATTTACCTTATGTACTTATAGTTGGGACGCCAATATAGTGAACAAAGGTTCTATGAATCCGATGTTATAGGTTATAAAAAAAATCAGTTTTGAAAATAATAAAATACAGTTGGAAATGGGACGATTACAAGGTAATTTTTTTTTTTAATTTTTTCCTCACAACTTCATCAAAAGAGTAAAATTTTACGACTGGAAGCTCGTTTAGCTTGCAGATTATATAACTTTTTATGGAGACTAACTTTGATCTGGATGCGCTGTAACAAAAGAAAAAATGTGGTTCGCGCCTCCTACAGGAAACCATAAAACGTCAACCTAATTTCAAAAGCACCCATTAACCTTGACTCTTGACGCATGACACATACCAAATCTCATTAATAATTCCACGCAAAATGGCGGTTATTTAAGAATAACAATATTAAAAACAATTGATTAACATCTATATGTAAACCTACGTATTATATGTAAACAACAAACTCCCAAAAATCAATGTTTCAAAATAAAAATCCAATTTAGAGCAAGCACAGAATTTTTGAAAATGGAAACACGGAATCCTTTTTTTAAACGTTTTCTTTGTTTCCCCAATACAATGCTTCATTTCCACCCATACGTTTACACAAAACCCCAATTTCAATTCCACGTCGGCTCGCCAAAGTCAAACACAAAGTGTTTTCGTTTCACGCCAGTCGAATTCATTACGTTACAGTTTCCACAGTATGCGAAAAGTCGGGTCAGCTGCTTCTATTAACGTGTAATTGCGTCCCTGCCAAAGCTGATTTATTGCTACATCTCATTAGGAACACCCCGATTCGACGATATTTTCATCTCCATGTTAATCAAAAACACAACATCGCCATTTTTTTTTTGTAATCTGCTTTCGCGCATAAAGCGGATAAAAATGTATGAGATATTGCAGCGCGGAAAAAATAGCTTTGATGCCAAATTAAACATGCACAAATGCTCACATACTGAAAGGTTAAAAAGGTGCTGCGATGAAAACAGGGCCGGTCTGGGGAAAATGGGACGGTCGCGGGTTTATTTGAAAACAAAACCGACACGACTGAATTATTAATGCTAAATTTTTTCCAAAGATGACTCGATTACAAATTAAGCACTAGCAGCGCCCTCTGTCGCCAATTACTGCCATCTTAACAAAAACAAGATTATTCCACATCACCATTTAAAATTAATCGCTTTGACTTTGCCAAAGTTGGCGAAAAGCCCACGTGAATCCCCGCGCATGCGCGTCCTCGACCTCACAACTCCCCCGAATGCAAAACAACCACACACTTACCATACTGCGAAGTACTTTGGTTGCCATTTTCGTCAACTTCAAAAAAACTGGTTTTCCGCACTGTGCTGCATCCGAATCACGTGAAACATATCGAACGAAAAAAAAAACAGCTAATCGCCAGTTTTAGGGATTTGGTTTGAAGGAACGCGACCTCTGTACTTTGAACGAGATAAACTAGTTTTGCGGATTAAGTTCGTTAACTTGGAGTAATGTTAAGTTGGGTGATAATTTATTAAAGAGCTGATATTTGTGATGGGTTGTTGCGTTGTAAACAAACCATCAAGGTTGATTGGACGAGTTCGTGTGGATGAATAAACGAACGGATGAATTAATTGTCCGATTGTACAGACGGCGATTTGCGGGATCTTGGGCCGTATGAGCGTTTGCTGGCTGAGTAAGACATGCGTACGTACTTAACCTACTTATTTGGAGGCGTTGCATAATAATCTATATAATCCGGTATGGTCGGTAGAATGTCACAAAAATAAGGTCATAAATTTGAAATAAAATGTCGCTTTTATCGGTTTTGCTGTGAGGTGTATTGGATTTTCTTTAGATAAGATAGCGGGTCCAGGAATGAATGAAGTTTTATGAGGGGCTCGTTTTTTTATAACGTCATTTCACTGGAATATTCTGACGTCATTTAAAATCAATATAGGGGCGTAAAAATAACAAAGAATTGGAATGAAAAAAATCTAGGGTAAATTATAAAATCAAATCTGGATGCCTGCGGTTAAAAATAAAGACGGATTCATAAACCACAAGTATATTATTTTTGCAAATTTAAATAGAATTTACTTTCCACAATTTTGAAAAGAACTCTGTTATATGCTGAAACATTTACAGAGTAGTACAAGGCGAAACGAATCGAATCAATCATTTCTATAAACTAGCTTACAAAGGTCACCATTTATTGTAGGATCAAAATTGCGGACCGAGAAAAAACGGCAGCAGTTTTAGAACTAAATTTAACGGGAGTTCGACTCAGGTCAGGTCAAAATAAATCGCTACCCCACAGTAGATAAAAAACTACAATAACTTTCATCGTTTGTAGAATACAAAAAACAAGTTCTCCATTTTTGTGTCCAATAAATTGAGTGATCAAAAAAAAACAACGGGGTGGGTGGGAGGGGCTATTTTGAAATGTTTGTTTTAAATTGTAGATTGGTCCACCTGAAAAAATATTATTCAATTTTCATCTAACAATAAAATTCAAAAACCGAGATGATATATATTTTTTTTTCTAGATTCCACCGTTTATCAATGTAAGTTTAATTTTTCGTCCAATAGAATGAATGATAAAAAAAAATCGGGAGGTGGGCGGGGCATACTCCAGTTTTTTACACGTAAATTCGATCACTTGTAAAATAAATAACATTTAATTTTCATCCCAGAGTAAATAAAATGAGCCAATGAAATTAAAAAATAGAGGTGGGTGGGGATAGTATTACTTTTTTGTCTAGATTCCACTGTTTATCAATATAAAATCCACTTTTCGTCCAATAAAATGAGTGATGAAAAAGAAAACGGGTGGGTGGGCGGGGCCATTTTTAACTTTTTTTGAAATTGTAGTTGGACCACTTCACAAAATAGCATTCAATTTTCATCTGGCAGTAAATAAAATAGGCCAATGAAATTCAAAAACCGAGGTGGGTGGGGTTATCAATATAAGATGCGTTTTTCGTCGAATCAAATGAGTGATAAAAATAGAACAAGTTGTCAATCAAGAGAAAATTAAAAATCTGCAAATTGAAAATCTGGTGGTTTTCCAAAAAATTCTAAAAAGTTGTTTGGAAAGTTGAAAGTCGAGTACACCAAAATTGTACTACGAAGAGACTTCCCCTGATCATAAAACGGGAAGCGTTTTTAGAAATTTTTTTCAGTTCAGAAATTAAAAAAAAAATTTTTGAGAATTTTAAAAACTCGAGACAATCGAATGGAAAAAATGTCCACACAGAAAAACTCTCAAAAAGGAAAATTGATGCATATTTTTTGTAAATTGCGAAAGTTAAGTAGTTTTTCAGAAAACTCTTAACCCCAAATTTCTTTAGAAAATAAAAAAAAAATTGGTCGAAAGCTCGCACCTAAAGTACAGTGAAAAATATCCAACATTTTTGAGTTGTTTAAAATTCCGAAATTCAGACTTTATATATTACTAACTTATGTTATTTGCCAAAATACGTCTTATCTTACCAAGTACTAGCCCCGCCCACCCACCCCCTATTTTTTCAGAGGATATGTTATTTGCCAAAATAAGACTTATGTTAGGAACAAGTATTAGCCCCGCCCACCCGCCCCCGATTTTCTCAGAGGATATGTCATCTGCCAAAGTAAGACTTACTTACCACCCACTGAGAAAATAAAGGACGGGTGTGGGGAGGCTACTAATTGCTAAGATAAGTCTTATTTTGGCAAATAACATATCCTCTGAGAACACAGGGGTGGGTGGGCGGGGCTAGTATTTGCTAAGATAAGTCTTACTTTGGCAAATGATATATCCTCTGAGAAAATAGGGGTGGGCGGGCGGGGCTAGTATTTGCTAAGATAAGTCTTATTTCGTCAAATGACATTCTCTGAGAAAACAGGGGTGGGTGGGCGGGGCTAGAAAATTTTAAAACCTCCGAAAGTCATAGATAATCGTCTCATATATATTAAAAATCTAAGATTCTCATAACAGACAGATCTTTGAACAATAAATCAAACTGATTTTCTATTTTTAAGAAAATTCTAATAATTTTGTCCTAAATGAAAAGAATTTCCTCCGAATTACGAACCTAAAGTGTTAAATCATGATAATTAAATCATCACATAGACCATAAAAAGGAAGACATTCGGTTTAAACAATCGAGAAAAATTTTAGAAACCTCATTTCCAACATTTTTGGGGAATTTTAAAGCTAATCAAATTGAAGAAGAAGAACAATCGTTTTCGCTACAACTTTTAATTCACCCATTCATTCATAGTTTTAGGTTGTTTAAAATTCCGAAATTCAGACTTTATATACTACTAACTTGTTATTTGCCAAAATAAGACTTATGTTAGGAACAAATATTAGCCCCGCCCACCCGCCCCCGATTTTCTCAGAGGATATGTCATCTGCCAAAATAAGACTTACTTACTACCCACTGAAAAAATAAAGGACGGGTGTGGGGGGGGCTACTACTTGCTAAGATAAGTCTTATTTTGGCAAATGATATATCCTCTGAGAACACAGGGGTGGGTGGGCGGGGCTAGTATTTGCTAAGATAAGTCTTATTTCGTCAAATGACATATTCTCTGAGAAAACAGGGGTGGGTGGGCGGGGCTAGAAAATTTTAAAACCTCCAAAAATCATAGATAATCGTCTCGTATATATTAAGAATCTAAGATTCTCATAACAGACAGATCTTTGAACAATAAATTAAACTGATTTTCGATTTTTTAGAAAATTCTGATAATTTTGTCCGAAATGAAAAGAATTTCCTCCGAATTACGAACCTACAGTGTTAAATCATGATAATTAAATCGTCACATAGATCATAAAATGGAGGATACTCGGTTTAAACAATCGAGGAAAATTTTAGAAACCTCATTTCCAACATTTTTGGGGAATTTTAAAGCTAATCGAATGGAAGAAGAAGAACAATCGTTTTTGCTACAACTTTTAATTCACCCATTCATTCATAGTTTTAGGTTGTTTAAAATTCCGAAATTCAGACTTTATATATTACTAACTTATGTTATTTGCCAAAATACGTCTTATCTTACCAAGTACTAGCCCCGCCCACCCGCCCCCTATTTTTTCAAAGGATATGTTATTTGCCAAAATAAGACTTATGTTAGGAACAAGTATTAGCCCCGCCCACCCGCCCCCGATTTTCTCAGAGGATATGTCATCTGCCAAAATAAGACTTACTTACTACCCACTGAGAAAATAAAGGACGGGTGTGGGGGGCGCTACTACTTGCTAAGATAAGTCTTATTTTGGCAAATGACATATCCTCTGAGAACATAGGGGTGGGTGAGCGGAGCTAGTATTTGCTAAGATAAGTCTTATTTTGGCAAATGACATATTCTCTGAGAACACAGGGGTGGGTGGGCGGGGCTAGAAAATTTTAAAACCTCCGAAAATCATAGATAATCGTCTCGTATACATTAAGAATCTAAGATTCTCATAACAGACAGATCTTTGAACAATAAATTAAACTGATTTTCGATTTTTTGGAAAATTCTGATAATTTTGTCCGAAATGAAAAGAATTTCCTCCGAATTACGAACCTAAAGTGTTAAATCATAATTAAATCGTCACATAGATCATAAAATGGAGGACACTCGGTTTAAACAATCGAGGAAAATTTTAGAAACCTCATTTCCAACATTTTTGGGGAATTTTAAAGCTAATCGAATGGAAGAAGAAGAACAATCGTTTTTGCTACAACTTTATATTCACCCATTCATTCATAGTTTTAGCAGAGAACATAGAGAAGCGCCATAGTTTAAATCAAATGACGGTTGAGGACTTCTCAATTTATGTTGGTAGCAGTGTTTGTTTCTAACTAGAAATAAAAGTAACTAGAAGAAATGTCATCATATTTTTAACGACGCGTTTTATTTTCGACAGATTGACACTAGATTTACCAGAATATTACAAGCTGCTTACTGTTTCCTTCACTTTCATTCAGGTCACACGAATTACAATTATAGTGAAGCAAGGTTTTTATTGGCATCGACTATTTAAATTTGGCGCTTGCCTTTGGCGGTTGAGGACTCCAATGTCAATAAGGGTGGTTTTGCAAAATCAGCCTCTATGTCGCTTCTCTATGTTCTCTGGTTTTAGGTTGTTTAAAATTCCGAAATTCAGACTTTATATATCACTAACTTATGTTATTTGCCAAAATACGTCTTATCTTGAAGTTTTTTTTTTTTTAATTGTGGATTAGAACACCTGACAACATTCAATTTTCATCTAACAGTAAATAAAATAAGCCAATAAAATTCAAAAACCGAGGTGGGTGGGGTTAGTTTCATATTTTTTGTCTAGATTCCACTGTTTATCAATATAAGATCCATTTTTCGTCCAATAAAATGAGTGATAAAAAAACGGGGTGGGTGGGAGGGGCCATTTCGAAATTTTTGTTTTAAATTGTAGATTGGACCACTTGACAAAATAGAATTCAATTTTGACAGTAAATAAAACAAGCCAATGAAATTCAAAAGTGAAGGTGGGTGGGGTTAGGTTTACCCTTTTTATCTAGACTCCACTGTTTATCAATATTAAATGCACTTTTCGTACAATGAAATGAATGATCAAAAAGAAAATGTGCCATTTAGAATTTTTTTTTTAATTCTAGATTCTACCACTTGACAAAACAGCATTCAATTTTCATTTGGCAGTAAATAAAACAAGCCAATGAAATTCAAAAATCGAGGTGGGTGGGGTTAGTTTTTTTCCTAGAATCGTCCAATAAAATAAGTGAACAAAAAATAACGGGGTGGGTGGGTGGGTGGGGTCATTTTTAAGTTTTTTAATTTGTAGATTGGACCACTTGACAAAATAGCATTCAATTTTCATCTGGCAGTAAATAAAACAAGCCAATAAAATTCAAAAACCGAGGTAGATAAGGTTAGTCTTAGATTTTTTATCTAGATTCCACTGTGTATCAATATAAGGTCCATTTTTCGTCCAATAAAATGAGTAGTCAAAAAAAAAATGGAAGGTGGGCGGCCACTTTCAAGTTTTTTAAACGTAGATTCGACCACTTGTAAAATAACATTCAATTTTCATCCCACAGGAAATAAAACGAGCCAATAAAATTAAAAAATAGAGGTGGGCGGGGTTTGTTTTTGTTTTTAGAATCTACTGTTTATCAAAATATAAGATCCATTTTTCGTCCAATAAAATGAGTGATAAAAAAAACACGAAGTGGGAGGGAGGGGCTATTTTGAAAATTTTGTTTTAAATTGTAGATTGGACCACTGGTAAATAAAACAAGCCAATGAAATTCAGGCGAGGTTAGTTTTAGTTTTTTGTCTAGATTCCACTGTTTATCAATATAAAATCCAGTTTTCGTCCAATAAAATGAGTGATGAAAAAGAAAACAGAAGGTGGGCGGGGCCATTTTGTATTTTTTTTAAAGTGGAGATTCGACGACCTGACAAATTAGGATTCAATTTTCATTTCACAGTAAATAATATAAAAAATAAATTAATGAAATTCAAAAGCGGAGCTGGGCGAGGGTAGTTCTATATTCCGCTGTTTATCAATATAAAATCCATCTTTAGTCCAATAAAATGAGTGATCAATTACTTGCAAATTCTAGATGTCCGAAGATTTCTCTACTCATCCCTCCGAAAACATCGATGACGTCATTTTAAATTTATATTAAGTATCCACATCAATTTTTGTTGTCTTTGTTATCATTTAATGCTTTCGAGTTTTCTTGTTTGAGTCTCTGAAGGTATATAATGCGTCAAGTAAGAAACTAGTTGTTATTCTTCTTCCCTTGTCTTTGAAGCACAACAAACGTCGGGGGCATCACATGATAAATTTCCAAGAAAAATAATTGATGTTTTCTATATATAATGATGATAATAATAATAAAACTTCCTTTCCTTCAAAATGTGCGGATGGCTACCATGTTGATAGAAACATTTGTTCAGCATTTGAAAACCCTGGGTCTGTCATTTAGAAATTTGTCCAGATTGTCATAATTTCTCGATATATTTTTAGTTCTGTCTTAACTGGGGAGACTCGGTTGTGGGTTTTTACTCAGTTTGCCGAACGCTGAATTTGATAAACTCGGTATTTTCCCAAACACATTTTTTTATACTCAAGGAAACCCACAGCGGTCACATTATTGAAATTTAATAAACAGTACGCCCCCCGCAAATGTGAACTCAAGCCGCCCCTGTCCAACCCCTCACCGCGCTAATAAAACTGACGTATGTCAAACCTGTCACTCCCCCTCCGTCTCCGTCGTCACATTCGCGTCACCCCAGCTTGCAAACGCGGCAAAACTCCAACGTAAAAACAACCCCAAGCATCAAGAAACCCGAGTCGCCCCTTCCGACTTTCAAACTCGCGTCGTCTGTCAAAACCGCCATCCCCCCTCCAGTCAAACAAGTCCCGTCGCCACGGCAACCGCGCTCCCTCGCCGTCCCGCCGCCGCCGCCCCCGTCGCGCGTTTTCCCCGAAGCACGTTTTTCCCTCGCCGTTCGAATTCCCCTCCCGCGAAACCGCCGCCGCACGTCATCCACCGCCAGGCGCGCAAACTCGCCACTCCTCAGTCCTCGTCCGCGACGCACGGCGGCGCCACCGTCGAGTGTGAAAGTAACATGGCGACACCGTCAGCTGCTCTCTTGGACCGTCTCGAAAAACAGGGCATTCCCAAGTCGAAGAGAAAACTCCAGAAGCACCTACGCAGCGCCGGACTGGCCTACATATCCCGCACGGGAAAACTGATACCCGCAAAGAAAGTGGCAGGTGAGTTTTGGCCGTTTCCCGAGTGTTTACATTGTGACATCTGACAGCTTTAACCACATCACTTAGTGCCCGTATTTTTAATACGTCATTCGGCTGAGTCACAACGGCACGTCGACGGACGGGGCGAACCGGGGTAGGCGACACGGGCCGCCTCCCCATTGGCCGGCCGCCCCCTGCGCCCGGCCCACGGCCTTTCCGAAACGGGCCCGAAACTTGGGCACCTTTGCGACCTTCCGTATCTAGGTCATTCGATTTATTGGAGGAAACATTGGCCTTGTCGTTAAGGCACGTGCCAGCGTAACAGGTTCGACGGTTTCCACTGTGTGTGCGTGTGTTTTTGGCGTCGATTTTCGCCTAACTTGTTGCTTTTGTACTTGGCCGACATGTGATCGTTCGCGGAACGCCAGCATCACGATCCTAAATAAATCAGGGACGGGTTTTGCGATTTTCCGAAACGCCTTTCGTTCTCAAGGCACCGTGTTGTCTTTTACATCATTCGACCTTCGTGCGGCTGGGGGAATCCTGATTCCGTGCACGATCATAAACACTTTGTGCGTCATCCCGTCAGGCGAAGTCTTTAAATGGGGCGTTTCGCGCCAAAACCCTTCCGCGACCACCCCGACGCTACGGACCTTAATCCGCTGGCCTTTAATCGAGATCGCGGTGGCTTTGAAATGGCATTGACGTACTTTTCGGTGGGAGTAAAGTCAAATGCGACTAATTAAATAAAATCCCTGCGGCGGCTTTTCGGACGTTTCGAAAGCTAATTTATTTATTCGCTTCGAGGTGTCAAAGTTTAAGTGGCCCTTCCCGCTGATACGAGTCGGATTGCCCAAGTGGCAGTCACGTGACGTGTGCATGGGCCAATGGGATCGATTATTGAGAACGGGAGCAGTTTACCGGTGCCCGGAAAACGTTACTTTTGCCTGTTGGTGATAATGCGGTAGATAATGTTGCTGTAATGAATTCCCCCAGCCCCCTTTCACGCTTGACAGATAATAACCGACTTGTTTCCTTAAATCGACGACTTTTAGCTGCACCATATCGTAATATAGTGGACAGCTCATTTGAATTGACGTATAACAGTAAAAATGCGAACTGGAAAATCCAGAAATACGAGATTAAGTGAGTCAGGAGGATTTGCAAAAAATCGCTTTGATGCAATCGCGTAGTGCGAGTTTGTAAATAGTGTTTACCGACTTCGATTCAATACGAAACGGACGAATTTTAATCCGTGTGTCATTCTTATCAGGCTGATAAACATTATCAATTTAAATTTTCGTCGTATCGATGGTGACAAAAGTTACAATAAAAACCTTCGGGCACTTTTGTAACTTAATTTGTTCAGAAAAAGCAATTTTCGTGCGTCAAATAAAAAAAAAACAAGTATGGGTAACATTAAAAATCAACGTAGTTTTCACACATGCAGCAACAAAGTCAGCAAAACTTCGATAATGCTGTGTCAACAACTGTCCACATTCTTACGTCAATATGAACAGGAAAATTGAGGAAAAAAGATAAATGAAATGCCTGAACTATCTTAAAATATGATCGAACCTTTCCTTATCTCTTATCTGCACGATTTATTTCATTTTTTTTTTTTTTATATTTTAAACTCAGCCGACTTACGCAGGTCAAAATTGTGGAGAAAACATACGATAAACAAAAACAATTAGCCTTGAATTTTCTACCACTGTTGGTTTTTGCTACAGAAAATGTTTTGACGTTTTTTACAATAAAAGGGCAAAAAGTGAGGAGTTGAATTTGGCCAAACCGTATGATAAAAAAAAGCAGTCTAGTAAACTTTGAAATTTATCGTTATAAATATTATTATTTAAAGATAAAAATCCCACCATAAGGTAACAAACTGCTAAATATACAGTGCGTCCCACAGTAATTGGTATCATTTCAAACACGTCAATATTACGAATTTTAATGGAATTTCAAATAATAAGAATAAGTTAATAGTCCTACCCATATTTTTTTTTCGATTAAAAAATGAGGTTTTGGTGTGCATATTTAATTATACAGGGTGTTTCATCTCTGACTACCTTGTACACAACATCATAGCATTGAAAATTATGTTTTATATATTCGTCCTAAAAAATGTTGAACAATTTGTGGAGAAAAGGAAGCAAAGATTATAAATAAAAATACACTGTTTCTAATTTTAGGTTATTTTATATCTGCTTTTTTTTTCTTTTTTGGATAGTTAACTTTTATTTATTTTTGCGTTTATATTTAAGTTTTATGTCCTTTTGGATCTTTTTGTTTCACTATTAATTGTATGTATCTTAAGGGGTATCCCGTATAAATAAAATAAAATAAATTTTTCGGAAAAGTGGAGGGGCTAAAATTTAAGTGGAACATCCTATATGTGACTTTTTTCGAATCATAGCCAATTATAGAGGAGGCATGACTCGATTAAAATATACAGGGTGTTTAAAAAATGGCGCATCAACAATACGATACGATTTCTTCATTTTATAATAATACAAAAAACTTAAAAATTGTTTAGGATGAATCTCGAACTTAGACTTGTGAATTTAATCATGTATGGTTGAGTTGGTGCGCCATTTTTTGAACACTCTGTATGTATAGGACTTTTATAATCATAGCCAACTATAGAGAAAGCATGAATATGTTGAAGTATATATTACATATTATAGTAAATGTAAATTTTCTTTATGTTCTGGATTTTTTTATTTTATTCGTTATATTCATTGCAGCCAATATATCAGACTTTGTAATTATGTCATGGACAGTCATTTGTTAGTCAAAATATCCCTCTTTGTTAAAGATTTACATCAATCAAGTATGTACCGTGTGATTTGTTTAAGTAGACATAAGCGTCATGGCCCACTCGAGCAGAAATTAAAAAATCAACCAAGAACAACCCAAATTAGGAAGAAAAATATATAAATTAGTGCTATATGAAACTTGTCTGACGGTTTCAACTGGAAATTTACTGTTAAAATTTGGTCAAAATGAAACTCTTGTTCCAAAAAAATTAACAAAAAATCTACTGTTGCGTACAAGGTGTTCCACTTTTAATTAATAAAAAAAAATGTATTCTTGAAATTAAAAAATACAGGAAGGTATTCTCAGAAAAAACAAAGACAGCCTATAAATGTCATGTGACTTTGTGAAATGATGTTATACAGCATCTTCCCAAATTACAGAAAATCACTGTAAATCTAACAATCGTAGAAAAAAAATCCTACAACCTCAATAAAAGAGTTGTTAATGCGATTTTAACGTTCTTGTTGTTTTTAGATGAACTGTGCCAGTGCCCCCAAAAATGTGATGAACGAGTGCCTATCGATGCGCGCGAGCGCCTGTTCGCCTTCTTCTACGGGCTGGGCGAAGCCGACCTGCAGAACCAATTCCTGCGCCAGAACATGGACCTGCGCGCGCGCCTCAACATCCCCGAGACGACGGGCACGGGCCGACCGCCGCGCCGGATAACGTGCAAGTACCTGGTGCCCCTCCTGCCCGGTAGCGAGACGGTGGAGGTGTGCCAGAAGGCGTTCGTCAGCGCGTTCGTCATCACGACGAAGCGCGTCCGGCTGCAGCGCGAGAAGCTCATCTCGAGCCTCGGGCTCAACAGCTACAGCAGCCACAGCCGGGGCGGCGCGGCCAAGCCGTCGCAGGGCGACGGGCAGAAGGGGGCGGCGGCGGCGACGCCGCTGGCGCTCAAGGTGCCGTCGTCGTGCGAGTTCGTCGAGCGCCCCAACACCGAACCAAAGACACCCGAGATGCCTCCCGCCGACAAGCCGGCCGTCAAGCGGCTGGTGGACAACCCGCTGATCCCGCTCGGGCTGCTGCTGCCCGACGGGGTCACGATCGCGCCGGTGACGGCGACGCCCGACCACGATAGAGACATTGCGATAGTTAACAACTTCTTCTCTAACCAGCTGTGGAAGCCGGAGTATATAGGTACTTACTCATGAGGGCGACGTCCGAGCTCCGCGCCCGACGTACTTAGTTTAATTATTGTCTACAAGATGATCAATTTTTACCTATTTGAGAAATACCTATACGTATTGTTATTTATATTTATACTGCATAGTTTATGGAGAAAAACATATATTGATTGTTTTCAATAAAAATTGTTTTTTAACTTCTTATTTTTATACCTACCACACCGTGTACATACATATACATACATTTATATGGAAGGGATTTTAACAATACGAGACCAAAAAGCACTTGTACCTCAAACGAAACTAGTACTATATCATGAATTTTGTAATTGTTGTACATTAGGCATTCTTGTTTTCTGTTGTTTTATTATTACGAGACAAAGATGTTTGTAGTCGGCAAGTATTTTATATATTTTATAATTTTGCTGTTAAATAAAAAAATTAGACACATTTAATGCATTCTCAATTCACAAACTCTAGTCTAAGGTAGTATAGTCGTTCTTATCCTTACTTTAGCTCTTCATTCTACAATTTCCTTCCCTATTTTTCTTTACTTGTTAGATATTTTCATCTGTATTCAAACTTTGCCTACTTTAATGATCTCCAGAAGGAATCTCATTTGATCTTGACTACATTTTTTTACTCAACTTCTCTCTGGTCACCCATACTCTGCCACTGTTTATGATTCAAACGTATTATGTCATTATTCATGACAGGAAACTGGTTAACAATATTTACAAAAGTATGGGTGCATTGATAAAGAGCAAGTCTAGGCTTGTATTTCTAGTGAGTTTTCCTATTTGAAAATGTTCCGATCAACATTATTTCAGCAAGGACACGTATGTCAATTCCGACATGTGCAGTGTAATACTAATAATAAAACACTGGAGTGCACCATTCTTGAGAAATGATCAATAAAAAATATAGATAACAGGAATAGTGTGTTAATCAAAAAACCCATGCCACATTCGAACGTGCGCGAATTTCAGGTTATGCGATAAGCTAACGAAGAACTGTATACTAGTATAAAAGTTTACTACACAATTTCAATTTTTTGCGAAAAATTGGATGCCTCAGAAAAAATATGAACGCGGATTCATAAGTAACAAGTATAGTTATTTTGTAAAATCTGAACTATATATAATTGGAACAAAAAATGTTGAGGAGATGTCACCGCATAGACAAATTTTGGTTAACGTTTTACCATCTACACGATATTCCTAACATACATAAAAAATTTGACAACAATCGGACTTGTAGTTTCACAATTTTCTGTCTAATGAAAATCTACACAGACGTCAAACGGACAAACGAGAGGCCTATTTTTTCGTACTTTTAGGGTCATGAAACGTCCGGAAAACATGAAAATAACCAAAGCAGATAACTAACGTGAAAACATATTATCAATATATGCTTAACTTCGGCTGTTTATGTCTATACATTGAACGACTTCGACGATTAACCACGGATAAAATTCGCAGCGACAGAAAATAAGGCGCAACGCCAAGCCTACGTTTCTAGTGAGTTTTGCCATTGGTGTATACTTCTTCGTTTGATAGACATAAAATATTAAATAATAAAACAATTACAATAAACAAAATCGAGGTGGATTCATAGTCTACATGTAATTTTACACAATTTAAATGGTGTTGACTACGGAAAATTTTACTACAATGTTGGTGGGGATGACTAAGCAAATTTTGATAAGATAAGACTCATTTTGGCAAATAATATACCTTCTAAGAAAAGAGAGGGTGGGTGGGCGGGGATAATACTTGCTAAGATAAGATTCATTTTGGCAAATAATATACCTTCTAAGAAAAGAGAGGGTGGGTGGGCGGGGCTAATACGTGCTACGGTTAGACTGATTTTAGCAGATGACATATCTTCTAAAAAAATAAAAGACGAATGGGCGGAGCTAGTATTTGCTAAGATAAGTCCGATTTTAGTGAATGAGAAAATAAAGGGAGGTGGGCGAGGCTAATACTTGCTAAGATAAGATTTGTTGAGTCATTTTGGCAAATAATATACCTTCTAAGAAAATAGAGGGTGGGTGGGCGGGGCTAGTGCTTGCTAAGAAGTCTGATTTTAGCAAATGACATACCCTCTAAGAAAATAAAGGGTGGGTGGGCGAGGCTAATAATTGCTAAGATAAGAGTCATTTTGGCAAATAATATACCTTCTAAGAAAAGAGAGGGTGGGTGGGCGGGGTTAATACTTGCTAAGGTAAGACAGATTTTGGCAAATAACATACCTTTTAAAAAAATTAAGGGTGGGTGGGCGGAGCTAGTACTTGATAAAATCAGTTTTATCTTAGCAGCTACTAGCCCCACCCACCCACCCTATTCGCCCTCTATTTTCTTAGAGAGATCTCATTTGCCAGTCAGTCTTATCGTCGCAGGTACTAGCCCCGCCCACCCACCCTCTGTTTTCTTACAGGATATGTTATTTGCCAAAATCAGTCTTATCCTAGCAGGTACTAGCCTCGCCCACCCACCCGGTCTTTTCTTAGAGGGTATGTCATTTGCCAAAATCGATCTTATTTTAGCAGGTAATAACCCCGCCACCCGCCCTAGATACGACTCATTTTGGCGAGTGACATACCTTCTAAGAAAATAAAGGACAGGTGGGCGGAGCTAGTACTTGCTAAGATAAGTCTGATTTTAACGAATAAGAAAATAAAGGGCAGGTCGGCAAGGCTAATACTTGCTAAGATAAGATTCATTTTGCAAATAATATACCTCCTAAGAAAAGAGTGGGTGGGTGGGCGGGGCTAGTCCTTGCTAAGATAAGACTCATTTTGGCAAACAATATACTTTCTTAGAAAAGAAAGGGTGGGTGGGCGGGGCTAATACTGCTAAGGTACGACTGATTTTAGCAGATGACATATGTTCTAAAAAAATAAAAGACGGATGGGCGGAGCTAGTACTTGCTAAGATAAGTCTGATTTTAGCGAATGAGAAAATAAAGGGCAGGTGGGCGAGACTAATACTTGGTAAGATAAGATTTGTCGACTCATTTTGGCCAATAATACACCTTCTAAGAAAAGAGAGGGTGGGTGGGCGGGGTTAATACTTGCTAAGGTAAGACAGATTTTGGCAAATAACATATCTTCTAAAAAAATAAAGGGTGAGTGGGCGGAGCTAGTACTTGCTAAAATCAGTTTTATCTTAGCAGCCACTAGAACCACCAACCCACCCTATATTTTCTTGATAGGTACTTCATTGGCCAAAATTGGTCGTATTTTAGCAGGTACTAGCCCCGCCACTCGCCCTCTATTTTCTTAGAGAGATCTCATTTGCCAGTCAGTCTTATCCTGGTAGGTACTAGCCCCACCCACCCACCCTCTGTTTTCTCAGAGGATATGTTATTTGCTAAAATCAGTCTTATCCTAGCAGGTACTAGCCCCGCCCACCCACCCGGTCTTTTCTTACGGGGTATGTCATTTGTCAAAATCGATCTTATTTTAGCAGGTACTAACCCCGCCACCCGCCCTAGATAACACTCATTTTGGCAAATAATATACCTTCCAAGAAAATAGAGGGTGGGTGGGCGGGGTTAATACTTGCTAAGGTTAGACTGATTTTAGCAAATAACATACCATCTATAAAAAAAAGGCGGGTGGGTGGAGCTAGTACTTGCTAAAATCAGTTTTATCTTAGTAGTTACTAGCCCCACCTCTATTTTCTTGATAGGTATCTCATTGGCCAAAATCGGTCTTATTTTAGCAGGTACTAGCCTTCTTTTTTCTTAGAGAGATCTCATTTGCCAAAATCAGTCTTATCATGGCAGGTACTAGCCCCGCCCACCCACCCTCTGTTTTCTTAGGGGATATGTCATTTGCCAAAATCAGTCTTATCCTAGCAGATATTAGCCCCGCCCACCCCCCCTGTCTTTTAGAGGGTATGTCATTTGTCAAAATCGATCTTATTTTAGCAGGTACTAACCCCGCCACCCACCCTAGATAAGACTCATTTTAGCGAATGACATTCCCTATAAAATAGACGGCGGGTGGGCGGGGCTAGTCCTTGCTAAGATAAGACTTTTTTGGCAAACAATATACTTTCTAAGAAAAGAGAGGGTGGGTGGGCGGGGCTAATACGTGCTAATACGTAAGACTGATTTTAGCAGATGACATACCTTCTAAGAAAATAAAGGGTGGGTGGGCGGGGCTAGTACGTTCTAGAGTAAGACTGATTTTAGCAAATGACATACCTTCTAAAAAAAAATAAAGGGTGGGTGGGCGGGGCTAGTCCTTGCTAAGATAAGACTCATTTTGGCAAACATTATACTTTCTAAGAAAAGAGAGGGTGGGTGGGCGGGGCTAATACGTGCTAAGGTAAGACTGATTTTAGCAGATGACATACCTTCTAAGAAAATAAAGGGTGGGTGGGCGGGGCTAGTACGTTCTAGAGTAAGACTGATTTTAGCAAATGACATACCTTCTAAAAAAAAATAAAGGGTGGGTGGGCGGGGCTAATACGTGCTAAGGTAAGACTGATTTTAGCAGATGACATCCCTTCTAAGAAAATAAAGGGTGGGTGGGCGGGGCTAGTACGTTCTAGAGTAAGACTGATTTTAGCAAATGACATACCTTCTAAAAAAAAATAAAGGGTGGGTGGGCGGGGCTAATACGTGCTAAGGTAAGACTGATTTTAGCAGATGACATGCCTTCTAAGAAAATAAAGGGTGGGTGGGCGGGGCTAGTCCTTGCTAAGATAAGACTCATTTTGGCAAACAATATACTTTTTAAGAAAAGAGAGGGTGGGTGGGCGGGGCTAATACGTGCTAAGGTAAGACTGGTTTTAGCAGATGACATGCCTTCTAAGAAAATAAAGGGTGGGTGGGCGGGGCTAGTCCTTGCTAAGATAAGACTCATTTTGGCACATAATATACTTTTTAAGAAAAGAGAGGGTGAGTGGGCGGGGCTAATACGTGCTAAGGTAAGACTGATTTTAGCAAATGACATACCTTCTAAAAAAAATAAAAGGCAGGTGGACGGAGCTAGTACTTGCTAAGGTAAGACTTATTTTGTTAAATAACGTACCCTCTAAGAAAAATAAAAGATAAGTGGGCGGGGCTAGTACTCGCTAAAATAAATCTGATTTTGGCGAATGACATACCTTCTAAGAAAATAGAGGGATGGTGGGCGGAGCTAGTACTTGCTTAGATAAGACTGATGTTGGTGTTTTACGAT